AGTTCGTACGTGTTCGGCTGAAGTCTTTGCGGTGTGTTCCAGTGCGACACATGCCCAAGACGCAGGAGAACACGCCGACGCAACAGTCGGCGTCAGCGTCGGCGAGTTCTCTGGTGACTGCTTGGTGTGTCAGGGCTTTAAGAAAAAAAAATTCAAAGAAGAGGAAAGTAAGTCATCAGCTGGTAGCAGTTAATCAGTTAGCAGTGATGGCGGCGGTGGCGGCAAAAGCGTCTCACTTCTGGAGAGGAGTTTCGTCTTTATGTCATGATAGAGAGATACAAACACTGAATAGTTTAGATGAGAAAAGGCATCAAAATGCCAGGTTACTAGTGTAAGCATTGGGTTGAGAGGTCATGTGTTGTGAGCATGCGCAGTCTGTCCTGGTGTGGTGAAGGAGAGCGTGGTGTGACTGTACAATAATAAAATAGGCGCTATCTGGGACGCTCCAAAAAGTACTAAGTTCCTGAGTTTTTGTTACACAGAAGTATCATTGAAGCCTTAACACCTCGGACGTTACACTAGTATTTATCATGTAAACAGGGAACATGAATAAACCGATCTCTCTGTGCTCATGTAAACACCATATCCCCAATATGATCATAACCGGGATAATACTCATAAACGGCTTACTGATATCCATGTAGAGACGCAATCAGTGTGTTTTACTGGAGCCTCAGTTCGATAAGAGATTATTTTCTGAGTTCTTTAACTTCGGTACTCTCTCTCAAAATGGTAATGTGCATCATGTTTTAATTATACTTCATTCAGAAGCTTTTTGTGTGTGTTTATGTTTTACTGAGTGCTTATAGGCAATTTCCATCCCAGTATTCAGTTAACTATTTATTTCCTGTGCACATTACATAGACTAGCTGATATTCTACCAACTGCTTGGGACTTTGAGTCTTCAAAATGTCCAATGTCACAGACTGGGACTTACTTTGGAGTCAGTTGTATTTACATTCAGTATGACTTGTTATGATTCAATGTGAAAGAGTATACTGCTCAATAAATAATGATCACTTCAGAAACTTAGCAACCTATGATAAAACGACATTTCAGCCTGTTTTTTCTCCGTTTTAATCTGCCATTGAAGCACCGTCTTTTGATCAGATAACGGGACGATCTCCCTACGAAGCTACGTAAAGCGTACGTCTTGTGATGTCTGTCTTGGCTTCCCTTGTCCCAAATTTGGATCACTCAAGTGATGATACTATATACCTACAATAATCTGTGGAAACGCAGCTTTAATCGGTATATCTTGTATGTGCAGCTACGATAAGTAATAAGGGACTTATATCTTGAGTTCTGTCACACAATGAATCCTTAGCAATTTTTCACCTAAGGGGTCATTAGATGCTACTTATGGAGATGTGTTTTTTTGGAAAATGTTTAATAATCGTCAGTTAGCTGAGATTAATTTCCGTTAATCTGTGATAACACATTAATATGTTCTTAAATATTAAGACCCCATAGACACAGTGCCCCTGGAAAAAAAAACAGGGTCTCCCCTGGGGCTTAAAAGGTTTTAACAGGTGTTTAGATACTTTATGTGCGATACTAGCATAAGGAGAAATGATGGGTACATTTTGGAATTTCATCCAGAAGTTAAAAAGAAAGGAAACACATTGGATTATTAAGATTCAGAAGCCTCTTTGAATTAAAAAAAGCAGGTTTAAATGCCTCATTTTACATTGACTAGAATGTTTCTGTTCAATTCCTCACTGATTCCTTACAATTCGGGATGAGAGTCCACATCACATTTACCAAACTGTAATTCCCTTTCATCACTCACCGTCAGCAATGGTCCTCTCCTCCACTAATCCTGTATTCTCGCCTCTAACTCACTCTCAAGCGCCTAATGTCAAGAAGGTGGAAAGTGATCATGTATTTATTGAGCAGTATACTCTTTCACCACATTGAATCTAACAAGTCATCACATATGTAATTACAACTGACTCAAAGAAGTCCCAGTCGTGACACTGTGGACATTTTGAAGACTCAAAGTCCCAAGCAGTTGTAGAATATACTAGTCTATGTAGGTGCACAGGAAAATAGTACTGAATACTGGGATGAAATTGCCTATAAGCACTCAGTAAAACAAATAAACACATAGCACAAAAAGCTTCTAATGAAGTATAATTAAACATGAGCCACATTACCTATTTTTGAGAACGAGTACCCGAAGTTAAAGAACTCAGAAAATAACTCTTATCGAACGAGGCCCAGTAAAACACACTGATTGCGTCTCTACATGGATATCAGGTAAGCAGTTATGTGATATTATCGCCGGTATGATACATATTGGGATATGGTGTTTACATGAGCACAGAGAGACCGGTTATTCATGTTCCCTGTTTAATGAAAATACTAGGTAACGTCCGAGGTGTTAAGGCTCAGTGATACTTCTTGTAACAAAAACTCAGGAACTTAGACTTTAGGGGGGTGGAGCGTCCCAGGATGCGCCTATTTTATATGACGTGCACACCACGCTCTACTTCACGCCACCAGGACAGATCTGCGCATAGCTCACAACACTGACCTCTCACCTCAAGGCTTTACACTAGTAAAACCTGGCATTTTGAATGCCTTTTCTCATCTAAGACATTCGTGCGATTCCTAATCAAGACATAAAGACAAATCCTCTCGCAGAAGTGAGACCTTTTGCCTGCCACCGCCGCCATCACTGCTAACGATAAACTCGCCTACCAGCTGATGACTTACTTTCCTTCTTCTTTGATTTTTTTTCTTAAAGCCCTGACACCATCCAAGNTCACCTACATACCACAACCTTTGAAAATGTCTGGTTTGGATCAATGAATCTTATACAAAGCAAAGGTCATTTAGCATACTGCAAAAATCAATTTAGAATTGATTCATTGATCCAAACCAGACATTTTCAAAGGTTGTGGTATGTAGGTGAGGTCTGTGGAAGTGAAAAAGATCACCTTAGTCATGAACCTAAATGTGCATGATTTAGTTAAAGATAGGGTGGGTAAGAATGGAGAAGCCATGCAGCTCGAGTAAGCTAGGATCTGAAAGTACACAACCTTCCTTCAGACTTCCTTACAGAGCCCCTCCTCCAACACACACGAACGCACACATGACCAATGAGGGCACGAGATAAGTTTGTGCACAGATGGAGGGCTGACAGGCAGGTAGGCCATCCAGTTATTTTAGCCGGGCCGGCTCAGATGATTGGTCTAGCTTTTTACAGCGCCACGGCTTCCACAGATGAAATTTTTTTATGTATTTATTGTCAAAGCATTTAATATATTCATTGCTATCGGGATGTTAAGAGCATTCCATGGAATATAACAAAAAGTGTTTCTGAAGTGAATTACCTACCCCACCTTTAATGCTTGTGATTTGGGGATTGTAGTTTTGACTACTGTATGTAACCTATACATCTATAAAAGGGTTCTCTATGATCTATGTGGCATTTCAGCTACAGCTTATCCAGCTACTTATTTGATCAAATATATTTTGAGTCGCACCTAATTTAGAATAATTTGTCTCGCAAACTCAATTTCATTGATAAAGACACTGATGCAAATATTGTCCACTGCTGACCTCCTCCGCTTTAAATGTGACTAGGGTGCACTCTTGGTGGTGTTTCCTTCATTCTTCTACGGATGTTCGTCTGAGCTGGAGGAGCTGGGCATTAGAACACACTCCTGTCGTCGGCCCCTTTTCCGCCTTCTGTTGGCAAACCTTATCCTCGTGCGGATCACATCTGGACAACACACACACACACACACACACACACACACACACACACACACACACACACACACACACACACACACACACACACACACACACACACACACACACACACACACACACACACACACACAGAAACACACAAAATGAATTAAACAGCAAAAGCCACCTCAATAAAGCCATGGAGGTACTGTATCATTATATTTCTATCAGTCTGTGTCATTAGAGGGGATTTGCTTGAAAACAGGAAAGTAGAGGAAGATCTGAGCAACATTAACGTTGGAGCTATATATCGCTTTATATTATTTAAGAGTTAAACATTTATTTTCTTGCTATTATTGTTTATAGTAAATGTATTCTTAGTTATTGTTGCTATCGAAGTGAGTTAAAGTAGTTTCTATGCTTTTATTTTGAAGGCATGTTTGTGCACTTGGTGATTAGAGCACCAGGTGTAATTGTATATATTGGAGACAGGTGGTGGTGGGATTAGAGCACCAGGTGGCACAGGTTTTTTTTACCAGGGTCTTTGAAGCCACACAAAGGAAAGGCTAAAGGAAAAGAGATATAGGAAACCTGTTCATTGTACTTTGTTATTGGAATAAAATGCACAAACGGCGATTCTTGTCTGGACTTGGATCGTTGCCCTGCGTAAGTTTCGCTAACTGGTGCCCTCAGCGGCAGTGTTATTTTAAGTGAATTATCAGTTTTATTCCTATATGATTTTGGCCGCTACACAAGACCTAATCGTCTCTATCTACTACTCGTTTGGAAGCAGCACACTGTGACTGGGAAATGAAAATAGAACCTATTGAATCTTATACTGGCTGAAATGTTTGACGATGTGACAAACAAGCCAGATGTGCTGAGTGGATAGAAAAGCACATACATTCAGCTAACATTAATCATCTATAATTAAACACACGGTGCGGGCGGGAGGTGGTTGTATAAATCATGATGTTTTATAGTATGTGAACAGTTTGTAGTCCTGCTGCCTAAATCACCAGCTGGAGAGTAATGCTGCTATAAATATTTTTAGTACAGGATGGGATGGCAAAAGTCAGTTTGTGTTTTGGTCTGTCTACCAATTTAGTCCACATGGAAATATCTGGAAATTGTAAAAAAATTGTAAAGAAAATTGTAAAAAAAAAATATCACAAAAAAATATTACTCCACCTTAAAAAAAAGAAATAAGAGGTACATTCAATTTTTTGAAAATGGTGATAATAATAATAAATTGGCTATCAAAATGGATGACTNATAACATTATGTCAAATAGCAATGTCATGATACCACAGTATCAAAGGATTGCAAGCTAACTACCTGGGGGTGAGAGGGCAAAGGCTTTTTCTATGAAGAGGCAATGTTAAAAGACCCTGTCCTAACCTAGTGCCACACTGTCACAAATTCACACCTGCCTGATCAATTGTAAAAGTTGTGAAATCAAAAGGACTTTTTTCTACCACAAAAGTCTCAGATATATACAAATGTTTTTGGAATGAGCAAGTTAAATAAAATAAAAAGAAAGTAAAAGTCAGTCCAGCAGTTTATTTCAAATTGGCTGGTCAAATGCAAACTCAATGTGGAGCAAACCCTTTGTTTTTTTATAAATACTTGTGGAAGTTGAGTAACGATAAGAGTTATTTGCCACTCTAAGCTTGAGCAATAGCAGAAGTGAGGAGTAAATGTTTAGTAACCAATAAACATTATTGATAGCAGCTTCACAGTGAACTCTGGGCCAAAGTCCAGGCAGGTTAGGGTCTCTAACATTCAGAGAGTCAGAGGGTTGCTGCTGTCAGTCGGTTTATTTTTCTTTCTCCATGGCGGCTCCTGAATCAGACTCCCAATGTCTTTTCTCTCTGGACCCCTACCATGTCTCTGAGGAACTTGGCTTCATCCTCCCTGACCCTCTGGTGAGTGGTAAAGCCCAATAAATGTAACTCTTTATACCTCTTAGTAAGTATGTTTGACCTTATACACAATCAGTCATGCTGCATGAAGTAGCTCAATGTCAGGGAAACTTTGATTCAACTTTAAATGCAATTCACATTAAATGAAAATTGTTCCCACTGTTATAAAGCTGGTGGTATTGATTGAGACCATTTATCTCAGGGAAGTTAGCATGGTTTCTGTTTGCTTTGTGTGATGAACTTTATTCCTACAGCAACAAAATCACACTATGTCCAAGGCCACTTTGCATGTAGCAATATAAAGCAATGAAATGCAAAGAGGAATAAAAACAAAACATATTCAAATGTCATTGCAACATTGTACCTCCACATCTGTGCTCCACCGATCCTGTAATATTTCATTGCAAGCAACATTTTCTTATGATACTTTAACTTTCAAAGGAAGAGCTTCCACCGTACTACCAGCCATGGATGGATATTGCCCTGCACGTCCCGGAGCTGGTGCACTCTCACAAGTTGCGGCTGCATATAAACGAAGTAAGTGAGGACAATAAACCGACAAGGACATTTCACTTTATGGAGGCATGCTTCATTGTTCCTCCTCTGCTGTCCAGATGCCGTTGCTGAGCATCCAGTTTCTGCAAAAACACTCAGAGTTACGTCTGGCACACCTGGCCCTCAGCGCGATGACCATGGGCTACGTCTGGCAGGAGGGGGAGAACGACACGGTGGAGGTATCTCTGGGTCTATAGAACCCTGTGCATCACATTAACACACATCTTACTCCTTATTGGGACATTTTGCACATTACTAAGACTATGTTGCACAATTCTGCACAATAAAACAACTGTTAAAACTGCACAGGATTTTTCTGTATTTTTCCAGTTCTTTTTTCTGATCATATTTGTTACACTAGTTATTGTAGCATGTATATATTTGCTCTTATTTTATAATTTCTCATACTGTGTCTATGAATTCACCACACCAGAGCAAATTCCTTGTATTTTAAAACCTATTCGGCAATAAACCTGATTCTGTTGCTATTCCATCTTTTTGTCATACTGACCATTCCCAGTTGCTTAGTTACTCTACACACTACAATCTACAATCTACAATTTATGTATAATTATTTTCATTTTCAACAATTTTCCTCTAAGAAGCTGCCACGTAACCTGGCGGTCCCATACTGGGAGATGTCACAGCGTTTAGGACTCCCCCCAATTCTCACCCATGCAGATGCAGTCCTGGCTAACTGGAAGAAGAAGGATCCAGACGGGTAACACCATTATCTTCTGCATGTGGTTTGGTTTCCTCCTGAACAAGTCTAAGCCCTCTGTTTTCTCTCTTTCTTATGTTCACCTTCACTGCTCTTGTACCAGGCCCTTTGACATGGAGTAAGTACAATACAACTCAAATGCTGGTTCTATTACATACCTGATGTGTGAAAAGCTGATTGGTAAACGTCTGCATGCAGGAACCTGGAGCTGCTGGTCAGCCTCCCGGGTGGAGACAGTGTGAGAGGTTTCTTCATGGTCACTCTGCTGGTGGAGCTGGCTGCAGTTCCTGCACTGAGGGTGAATCTAAAATCCCAAATTCATTATGTAGAAAAGAAAAAACAAAATTATGATAAACTGTACATTAGAAATGCCACCTAAAAACTGCCTTTGCCTTTGTTTCTGGACCTGTGTTGCAGAACATCCCCACTGTGATCAACGGTGTCAGGTGTGGAGACACAGAGGCTGTGGCCACAGCTCTGGAGGAGATCAGCCAGTCCATGCAGGACATGACAGACACACTCAAACTGATGCACGGTAATCACTCCAACATAACTTATAATTTAGACTATTTCCCTATCGCCAAGTATTTTGATCACTGTGGTTTTTCTTAAGACTACGTGGATCCATCCGTCTTCTATGGAATTATGAGGATCTACCTGTCTGGGTAAGAAATATCTCTTTGTTTTCATAAGACCTATTAGACATTTATTTGTAAAGTAGAACTTGATTTTTTTTAAATGTTGGTTTGTGGATTTGTTTGCATAGGTGGAAAGACAACACCTCTATGCCAAAGGGGCTTGTATATGAAGGGGTGCTGGAGGAGCCGATGGAGTATTCAGGAGGGAGCGCTGCACAGAGCAGTCTGCTGCACTGCTTTGATGAACTTCTGGGAATCAAACATGAAGAAACAAGTGGTATGTGTTTCCTTGACAACACTGTCAGAAAGGTTTGCAAAGGACTTATTGTGATGATACTTCCCCTAACTTTATACAGGAGAGTTTCTAGCCCGCATGAGGAACTACATGCCACCTGCCCACAAGCAGCTGATCCAGGACATCTCACTGCAACCCTCCCTTAAGGGTTTCGTCCAGCAGCAAGCCAGCGAGAGGCTAAACCAGGCCTTTCAGCGCTGTGTCAAAAAACTCTTGGCTTTCCGCAGCTATCACATCAAAGTCGTCAGCCGCTACATCACTGTACCTGCTGCACGTGCCCGACAACTGAGAAAGCAGAGCCGGGAGTCAGAGCAGGAGATGATCAGCAGAGCACCCACTGCGTTAGAGGAGAGAGGCACCGGGGGCTCTGGCATCATGTCCTTCCTTAAGACTGTGAGGAACCAAACAAAATACACTTTGCTCCCTGAGACAGGCAAAAAAGAATTGCACCATAGCTAATGTGCTGTCAATACTTATTAGCAGTAGTGTCAACTACATGGTACATAACAATGGCTGCAACGGATATTTCACATATATGAAATATAGAGGATGAGTTGTGACAGGATGAGGGTGAGAGACCTTCATCACATATCTTATATGTATCTGTGTTGAGTCTGTACATAAAACTCAGCTTATCATAATGAAACCCATTGATGTTACTTTCATCTACATTCAACCAATAATTCCTTCTTTAATCTGAACTGGAATGCAACAATTTCATCAGACATCTGCTCCAGACCATGCTCCAGACCCACATATCTAGAGGACATTAGGACATTAGCCAACTGAAGTCATTGCTTAACCCCCTCTTACTTATTCTGTTTAAACGCAGTAAAGAAATAACAAAGTTTGTCTTCTATAGCTTTAAAATGTAGCAGCATTGTTTTTTCTGTTAATAAAATGTTGAAGGTTACCTGTACTGGTTTAAAAGTAAGAATGATAAAGCTCACAATAATTGATTATGTGAAAACATTTGCACTGCAATACCCTGGGAAACCATGGCAAGGCGCTAAAGGGAAGCATTATAATTCCCACCAAAAGCAGCTTTTACAAGGTTTGTCTTTAAGAAGCTGAAACTGTGAGAAATTAATGCAAGCCTTTGATTTGTGACAAATTAAATCTGATGAAATTTGGTATTTTTCATTAATAAGAGTCATTTAAAGAGGTGTGACATCCACACCAGCCTCTGAAGTATCAAGAACCTGACCTTTACCTCTCAGAACATAATCAGTTGATCTGTCCTGACAATGGGGTTGTCATGTGAAAGTACAATGCACAATGCAGAGCAGAGATGCATCACTTATCAGAGTGGTTACCTCAGCACTCCTCCAGCCCACATCTAGCCCTCACATGCCCCGCTATACTTCCTGGACAAAGTGTGGAAATCCCAGAGCAATGAAGGGATGGATTGTGCGTTGAATGGCTCACGCTGTGTAATCTTCCCCTTTCCCTGGCTCATCTCCGCCGGTGTTTCATTACAAAAACAGTCTTGCAAGATCAGATAAGACAAAAGACGTGACAATTAGACATGACAATTCCCCAACCCTCCCCCCCCCCACACACACACACACACACACACACACACACACACACACACCTGAGTGATTTACTTCATCTTGCCCTCCTACTTTTCACTGGGTAGTAAGGAAGACAATGGAAGAGCAAATAAGCGAGTAAACAATTAAACCGTTTTAAGACAGTGTTTCAAGAAAGATGTTTGGAGCCATTTCATTCTGATTAATTGTACAGAAAATACATTAAGAGGTTTTCTTTTTACTGAAGTGTGTTATATCGTTTAATTGTGCATGTCAATGGTTTGCAAAGGCTAAAATTCCTGTATTCCATCCAGAGAGAGTCTCTCTCCTCCTGCCTGAAACGCCTCGATTGGACTCCTTTGTTTACTTCCTTAACTTAAGGACATCACTATGTAACACGTGCTTCCATTGGCTTGCGCTCAAACACGTCTCTAAGCGGTTGACCAATTATAACAGAGCCGGCCAGCTAACCAATCAGAGCAGACTGGGCTCTGGTTTCAGACAGAGGGTGAAAAGAGGAGCTTCAGCACAGGCAGTAAGAGACAAATAAAGAGCTTTTTGAACATTAACGCATGGAGACATGTCCCAGTGGAGGCACAAAATACAAATATGAACCTGAAAAAAATAGCATTATAGGGCCCCTTTAAAAGTGGAGTCACTGTGTTCACATGTTGGAAGTCATTCATGGTTTCATTCCACACACACTCAGACATGGTTCACATCCTGAGAATCTGTTTGCAGGAAGACCAGAAGTTGAAAGGTGAACAGAAACTACGCAGAGATGGAGAGAGAGTTGGGTGTTGAGGAGGACATGAGTGTGTCACAGTGATCTGATTAGAGCCTTTTTCCACAGCAAAAGCAAATAATCCCCTTCCTTATTGCCTGAAAGTGGAGGACTGCCTGACAACCCGGCAGTAAACACATGCCATCTCTAAGGATGTCTTCATTGTGTAGTCGGGGCTGGGCCTGCACCGCCGCTGAAGTTTCACCTCGGATCACAACAGTGGCTGGTTTCAGTGTAGGATATGACACACGTATGCATGCACAAACTCGCTTGTTTTGTACCGACAATGCTGTGAGGTGGTTTACAAAATAAAGCTGTAAAAGGCGTCAGCTTTGATTATTATCTACCTTTGTGATATTATGCCTTACATTTTCCAAATGATATTCTATGAAGGATCACCTGAGCTAAATATAGAGTCATCCTGAAGGCAAAGGGCGTCAGGATTCACCCTTGTTTTCATGAAACCTCCTAAAACATTCATGTTTCATCCGTCAGAGCAGAAAGGATTACAGGCGTGGGTTCTCCTTTCGGTTAGACAATCTGTGCCTTTGTGGTTGGCCACAGGATATCCTGGATTATGTTGTTTTGAAATCAAATGTCTGAGGCTGCTCATCTCTAGCCAAGACCTTTTTCTAACCCTGAGAGCGAACAACCATGGAAGAAGCTGTTGATTGTCTTTGGCTTGCACATGGTGGGTGTAGCAGGTCATTATGGGCTGTGTGTGGAGTACAGCAGGTGACTCTGGGCGTTTCACCACTTTCTTCTCATCTGGACATCACTATCTTTGTCCAACATCCATGAACACACACCCATCGGTTGAATTCGTCTACATCACCCAGTTTGGGCACACCCTCAGTTACATTTGAGCACTACATATCAAAAATAATCTGCTCTCATCCCTATTCCTTTTCAATCAATGTTACAAATGTTCAGTACATATGACAAACTGCTTTAAAGGGGCCCTATCATACTCATTTTCAGGTTTCATATTTGTAATGTGTTCCTCTACTGTGACATGTCTCCATGCTTTAATGTTCAAAAAGCTCTTTCTTTTTCTGATACTGCCTGTGCTGCAGCACCTCTTTTCACCCTCTGTCTGAAACCAGAGCCCAGTCTGCTCTGATTGGTTAGCTGGTTGGCTCTGTTGTGATTGGTAAATCGCCTAGACATGTCCTTTAGCCTATCACACTCAATGTGTTGGAGCGCTAGCCAATAGAAGTGGGAATGTTACATCGTGATGTCATTATGTTACGAAAGTAAACAAAGGACTTCAATGGAGGCGGACAGGGGGTGAGTGTGTGGGAGAGAAACTACTTTGCAGACCATTTACAGTACATGCACAAAAACCTATACAACACGCTGTAGGAAAGAGAAAATCCTAGAAGGGCCCCTTTAATTTTGGGATCTAAATTGCATCACCCTGACTCCCTCTCCCACAGAGTATCCATTTAGTGGTATAAAAGAATTTAAAGAAGTATGTGACAATTAACCCCATGGGCAAAGTTGTCTTTTAGTGTTCTTAGTACTTACTAACGGCATGATCATCTCCAGACTGGTGAATCATCCTTTCTAAAGTACCCCCATTTGGATGGTTTCCATAGAAGCATTTCTAAACACAAGCAAACGTATCCGACTTTCACCGTGTTGCGGGTTCTCAGTCTTCGCTTTTCTGCCTACTTGTCACCGGTAAACAAGAAGCTCATCTTTCATCATCTGCATCTTTCAAGTCCTTTTTTCTTTTTTAAACCCTCTGTTCCCCTTTGTTCATCACTTGTGCGGTCTGCTTGGGCAGGTTACAGGCTTTTGATGTAGTCATCTTACAGCAAGTTTATCACTTCCTTACCACTGACTCAACTGAAACGGCATGCCCACATGAAAAACGGGAAAAAAAGAAGCTGTCTTGTTCACAGCCGGGTTGAAAGTCTGCTTTTTCAGGTGTAGGATTACTGCTGCTGACGTCACATTGCAGGCTTTATTATTCCAGGGGAAAACTTGGCCCCTGTTATCAAGACATCATCATGCTGCTTTGTGCGGTGAGGGTATCTTTTCGACTTTGCATCTGATGGAGTGTTACATTCCACCCTTCCTTAGCTGGATGAACATTTCTGTTGTCAGTGTTCAGTTGTATTTGTGCCAGTTTTGTTGAGGTACCTTGTGAAGCTTTCTCAGCCTGCCGTTGCTTTTTACCTAGGTCTAGTGGTTCTTACAGCTAAATGTTAACAGTAGCGTGCCAGCACTCTAACAATGACAATATAAACTATAGCAGGTATATTGTTAACCATAACAGGTTTGAGCAGGTTTATTTTTAACCGTGTTCAACATCGTAGTGTGGTATTAATCACACAGTACAAAACTGAGTGTATTGTAAGAATATCAAACTGAACAAGATGATGTTATATGCTATGCTATTACATTTGAATAACTGTTTGTTCATATCTGAACAAAAAAGATATCAACAGTGTTCACAAATGTTTGTCTGTGGCACTAGAGAAAAAGCGAGAGGTCATACGGATACATTAAGAGGGATCTAATGTTTATCTACATAATGTTGTAGATGTTGTCTACCCAAGCAAACAAATTATCAACATTGCCATTCGTGGAGCCATTCCACTAGCTTGGCAATGAAATGTCAAATTAAGTGACGAACAAAAGTTTCCTTCCCTCTTAGAACATCATACTTTTGTGTTTTTTGTCTCGCTTGATTTTGAACTCTTTTGATGGCCATCTAAAATCTTTTTCTATGCAAAAACTTTGCAGGGTTGAGATAATGTCCTAGAAAACACTTGCACGAGCTGTCCCTGTTCCACTCGTGTTTCAGCGAAAGATTTAGCCTCTTTCAAAGAAATGTAATTATGCAGGAAAAAAAATCTTGTGTTTTCCTTTTTCATTTATTCTGTGAAATCTGCTTTGACAAGGTTAATGAAACAAAGAAATGCGACCACTTTGAAATGTAACCCATGTGATCTGCGTCATGCTCTCATTGTCTTCTTGCTTTGTAGTGGAAGCTGGCCAGACAGTGAATTCAAGGGCAATATATTTTAACTTATTATCAAAATCTGTCAAGAACTTCAGATTTTTTACACTGTCAGTCTTATCTCCTCTAAACTTTCAACACTTGTGCAAAGTAATGAAGAGAAGTTAGGAAAGATGAGAAACGTACACATGAGCATGACTCTTACTCATAATTCATTAATAATTGAAAAGTAGTTTGGTTTCGTTTTTTTTAATTTTAAGCCTTATGCTTGTCACAAATACTTTTGCACAACTTTCAGTTGACTTGAAATAATGAAAGAAAAAAGGCAGATCAAATTAAAAGCAACCTTTTCTTCTTTGTTATGTGTGCTGGATCCTTCCAATCAAACTTTAGCCTAAGTGTTGTCAGAGCAGGAAGACTCACAGTGACCAAAAAGCCCTTAAAATGCATTGTACTTGCTGAATTGTTTCCCCAGAGACCTCAACCACACATATTAAATCAGATTCTGATGGCATCTAGAAGAATACATGACATTCAGATGGTTTTCCTCACAGGATTAGCAGAAGCCCACACACGTCACAGCCTTTTGTTTTAA